AGCCACGGGTGTCGGCAACTACTGAGCGTAGAGATGTGTCCGTAAACCACAGACAGGCATGAAAGGCTGGTGTCCTGACAGGGAAAGAACGAATGAAGTTTATATACATACATTTGTATATTTAACAAATAGACGCGCGATAATTGACACTCATAGAAAGAAGTAGAACAATAGACGGACACGCTAAAAATATAAAAATTGAAAGATATTCTTATCCCGAGAATCGAACCTGTCACCGCCAAGTCGCGACAGAGTCTTATTGTAGATAGAAATGTAATAAGATGCATGCCATGACTATAGCATAGCTTGATCTCACAACAATGGCAAGCAGAAAGAGTTCGAACCAAAAGCATTGGAATGGCACCATGGATTACATAAATTCATATTAACGAAACATAAGTCGAAAGTCCAAAGCAGGCTACCTAGGCCCATTTTAAATTCGGCCATTTCAAACACTGATCTTTCAAACGGCATTAGCATTTTTTATATGTAAATCATTATACGTTGTGTCTGGTCATGTGATCAGAAAAAAATTAGTACTGGAAAATATCGTGACGACTGGAAAGACCACTGGTAGAAGAGGCAGAGGCAGACCAAAAGAAATGATGGTGGATGGCTTAGGACAATCGCATGAAAGAATTTCTTCAGTGGAATTGAACCCGAACACCAAAGACCAAGATCAGTACGGATGTATGAACGCCTACGCTAGCTGGCAAGGCACGTGTTGATGATGATGATATCATATTCATAAATCAACATTTAGGGTATGAATGTTGAGTAAAAATACAAAATCATGAATTGCAAAGGCTTACCTTCAAATATAAATGTAGAAATACACAAAAAGCACAGATTGCAACCAATTGTTTTTATGTCTGTTTAAACTTGTCATGTGATGTGTTTTCTCTTGTGACTATATTACTGATTGTATCTCTTCTGGTCACTCCTACTTCCTTTCAAGACATCCCATCTGCGTTGTTTCTAATATTTTGTTCTGGTGTGTTGTGGGTACCCATGGTCTAGTTGTCATGTTTAGTGAATGCGGTAACAGTCCACGCTGAGTGAGTGCATTGTGAGCAGACGGAAATTATTGTCATCACCAAGAAGAAAGAAATATCAAAGTGTGAAATTCACTCAAATGGCAAAGTTCTCAAGCGAGTGGATAGAAGCAAAAATCTGATGCAAAATGCTTTGTAGATATTGAACAAGAATCACCATTAGCAAAATTGGCCTTTAGCAAAGATACTTACTAAAAAGAAAGATAATGGCCTTTTTGCCCCATAAGTTCTTTACAATATGAGGTACCCAACGCCACACCCAACCTTATCCTTAATCGCCTCTTACGACATGCCTTGCAGGGCGCTTGTAACTATTGTTCGCCCTGAGGGGTCCGGTGACACACGGGCGGAGAAGGATTTTTCCTGATCGAGAATTATCGATTCTCATTTCCAAAAGAAGTGAGAAAGTAATTTCAAAACGAGAACACTCGACAGCCTCTATCAGAGAGATCCGGATTCTTGGAGAAGGAAACAAGACTTCGATTCCCTTCTTTCTTTGTCGAAGATCCCTCAAGGGGGCGGACTGGCTTAGTAATAACTACGTCCATCTCAAGGTTTATAGCATTTGGGTTCTACTTTCCTTGTCTAGAATTTAAAAAAAAAAAAATAGGCACCGATGTCTCCATAACTACATGTCGTAAAAGTCGACTAGTTAGAGACGTTTCCTTTGACGACGGAGTGCACCCACCGGAGAGGGGAGGAACCAACAGTCTGCAGGTAAATACGATAGATCTTAATATGAATGTGCAGGAAAAACACAACTTCTGAAAGAACACAAAAGTTCGGAAGTGGACAACAAGTGGACAACAAGTGGACAACATCCAGAACTGTCTACCCGAGTTTACAGCCAGGGAACACAAAGAAAAAGAAGAAGAACGTCGAGGCGACCAAAACAGCAAGAAGCCGAAGCTGATGTCTCTATGGAGTGAACTCATCTGCGTGTCATCGCACTCCTTAATGACCTCAGACTGAGTGGTCATCATCGTCATCTTAACCGTTTTCCACTTTCGTCATTAAGCGACAGGGGAAGGAACAGTCCGCGATCCACTGTCTGATGGGTGGCAATAGTTTTTGTTATTCAGTGTCGATGTAGAAAGTCTGCAATGTTATAGGTGCAACTGCTTCTGTGTCGACCTCTTGCTTGCTTCTCATGTGTAGCGTAGTGCTGATAGTTATTGTGACTGGCTGCATTCTAACTAAACCATGTGATCTTCTGTTTCTCCATCAATCTGGTATATCATCTTGCTCCCATAGCCAGTTTGATGGAATCATTTCTCACCGTCTCGGATGGTTAATTTGGCTGCTTTTCTCAGGCATCTCATTTCACATGTGTTAATTTTAGCTAGCACATTAGTGAGATTTATCATCACAGCACTCCGGACAGATCCATAACTGCTCTTATCTCCTCCCAAAAAGCTCCATAAGAGTTACATGACTGATGAGATTTGTTTTGTGCTGGTTAATCTCACGTCTTGTCCCTTTGCCGTAAGCGCTGCGCCTGGTGTTGATAACAACGCTTCTGTCCAGTACTGGACCAACAATGGCAAACGCAGTGTTTGTAGTATAATCTGCACTTTCATTGCCCCGATCACCTGCGAAACCTGGTACAAAGATGATATTTGGGTTGAAGCCATTTGAGAACTGCTTAGTGATTCAATCCATTCTTCTGTGATGAAGCTGGCCTTGATTTTCTTAGGCATGTTCACTGAGTCAGTAAGCATGCACGCATGTGTGAATCCTTATGTAACCAGCGATGCTAATGCCCTTGTTATGTCAAAAGTTTCTATAGTCAGGCTGCATGTTGAACATAGCAGAATGATAAATGAATTTATATCAAGAAATTGTTGTTACTGTATTACACTTTTTTTTTTCCCAATCCTCTAGAGGGTGTCATATCAAACGACACGACGGATTGGAAAGAATTATAGCAGAAGGCATGGTACCAGGAAGAAGGGGCCGGGACTGGCCGACACGAAGATGGGCACATGTTATAAGTGACTACTTGAGTTTGGCAGTAAATGAGGCGGTAGAGCTGGCAAGAGACCGAGTTTTTTTCAGGCAGACCGTGATGAGAGCGACATTCTACAGCCAAGTGGGGTAAAAACCCGATCCAACAATGTCGATCTTTGTGACTTTAACTTTATCTTTATGTATATTAATCTGTTTCTTTTATTCTACAGGATTGTAGAGACACTGACGAGATGGGAGCAGAATCAACCACAATCAAACATCGGCAGTTTCCAATCACTCAATCACACAATCCAACTGCTGAATATTATGCCACGAAATGTCTGCAGATCACATTAACCATTTTTAAACTACCTGAAGGCACAATGTTCCGTCATAATCTCAAGTCTTCCAGCGAATAAGACAACCAGTTTGCAACAAATGTAACAAAACTTTTTTAAAAAGCTGCACAAAAATTCCGCATCTGATGTCATTCCTTGAGTAGAAAAGTGGACGAGGTGGGTGATCGAGTTTCTTTTAGACCGACTGTAATGAGAGCGACGTTCCGCAAAGGAGCTGCCACATGCTGATGATAAAAACAAATTGTCATTCCTATTGTCTGCCAAATCTTTCATAATCTAATCCAGACAGCGTCAGTTTGCAGAGAGTCTACCAAATTCGCAGTTGTTTTCTTCACCTCGGCTTCGCCAAGCAAGGTATAATCACAAATTATGGAGTATAGAAATGAATAAAATGAAATGGAGGACTACAGTACTTCAACAAAATATTGGATTTCCCTTCGCTCGTATGTTTTAAGCAGACGTGAAAATTACTGCCTTTACACCATTGCAAGCTCAGATCAGCCATGCCAGTCGGTGCTCAGTCTCTGTTTAAATAAATGAACATTAATTAACTGAGACGGTAGAACACAAGTTGTGATTACCTCAACATTAATTCAGCAGTCGCTCTTTCCTACCATTTCACAGATGAATTCCGGAATATTGAAGCCTGGGACTTGATGTTTCATCGATGGAAGTTGGGTTTTGAGGTTAAACAAAAACTGTCTTTTCAATGAAATCATCAACCCTTTCTCCATTTTACATGCGTCTACATGTAGTGTGATGTCAATAAGTGTGTGGTTCACGTGATGTAAGGAAGCTTCTGGAGAATTCCTAAAGATTTTGTTTGTCATGTGAATGTCTTCTGTTTCCTTATGATTTATCAACTTTAGAAATTCCGGATGGGATGATTCAAAATTAATTTTGATAATACATAGTATTTGCAATTATCAAAACTTATACCCGGCAATTAAACACAAAACAAATAAATGTATTTGAACTTAACGTCACATTAAGCTATTTGATATTCCAGTGGTGGGTTACCTGGGACGGCATCATGACAGTATCATCAAACAGTGTAGGTCCATGATCATAATACTTTCAAAGAAAAGAGATCTAGATGAAAGTTGGAATCTTTCTCCCATAAGGATCAAGTCATCGACAGGGAATACTTTTCTCATGCCAAGAAACGTTATGATTAGATTGTTTAGTTGCGCTTAAGCCAAGCAATTTTGGTTAAAATTCCGGATTAGCAGTACCACCGCCGCGGAAAAGTTGTTGCACATTTTAACTTCTTGCTAAACATCCTTGAATATATCAACTTTGAAATCAGGTTTTCCATTTTAACAGTTTGGGAATTTCCGCTTACAAATTTGGTTTTCCTCACAAAAGCAAGTTACTTGTTGCTTTAAATTATGGATTCCTATTTCGGCTTCTTGTGAATACTGAATTGAAATGTTTGCTGCATTCGATAAAAACCTGGGGGTTTACTGTCCTCAAATTCTGATGCGGGAACTGGAGGTTCTAGGAATTTGATTTGGATGCGATATATCAAGATAAAGCTCAGGACTTGTCGAGGCTAGTTCCTTGACTAGTTGGGGACATTTGTTTGCGGCCGTTTTCTCAACCTGTGTCTGTGGTGCTTCCTGAGATCGTGAATATGTTGGAATTTACGCATCTAAAACATCTGCTGAGTACAGCGGTTGCTCTGCTATTGTCCTCAGTAAATCTCTGCAACAGTCAGGAGATCATCAAGAAGGAGTACCACCTAGAGGAGGAAGGAGGTGTAGGTGTGCATGTTGGAAGCCCAGGAAGAGACAGCGGACTCTACAGCAAGTTCCGAAAGGACATGCACCTCTTGATGTTCCAACCGTTCGCTCAGGGAAACGAGTACATGCCTTACTTCTCCGTCAACGAATCCAACGGGGTGATCAGGACAGCGAGAAACATTGATCGCGAGGCTCTTTGCCTTGGTACCAAGGTCTGCACTGTTAAATTAAGCATCGCAGTTTACAGAAGACCGCTTTCTTCTGAATCTCCAGCCTTAGTGAATATTCTGGAAGTTGTGGTCGTTATCGATGATATCAACGACAACAGTCCGACCTTCCCAAGTCCCGCGGTCAACCTCCATGTTGCAGAGAACCTTGAGGTCAATTATCAGATTGAAACCAGCGTGGCTATAGACACCGACGAAGAAGGTCCGAACTCTCGGGTTACCTATAGGCTGGAACCGCCAAGTCACATGTTTGAACTGTCCACTGTAAAAACAGCAGACGGCGTTGAAGATCTGGTTGTCACCATTAAACGTAGCTTAGACCGAGAAGAGGTCAGCCAGTATTCCTTGCTCGTGGTGGCCACAGATCTAGGAGACGAGCCCAGATCGGGATCTGTTTCAATCAACATCCTGGTTAAAGACATGAATGATAACGCTCCACTTTTCAGCCGGTTAAATTATTCAGTTAACATTCTAGAAAACTCTGATACTACAGTTCCTGTAGTCGTTGTTTCCGCTTCGGATAGGGACGACGGTGAAAATGCTCGGTTGACGTATTCTTTGGGATTTCAAGTACCCCAAGATATTAGGGATACCTTTGTAGTTGATCCTGAAAACGGTAATGTTTTCGCCAGAAAAGAGCTGGACTATGAATTCAAACAGGCGTACCATTTCTCAGTTATTGTGACCGACCACGGCAGTCCCTCAAGGTCTAACTTCGCTTACGTCACAATAAATGTGATTGACGTCAACGATAATGTCCCTCACATTCAAATAAACCCCGCCCCTGGAGGCGAGTCGGTTACTGAACATGGTTCCATTGGGAAATTCCTCGCGTATATCAAAGTTTCGGACGCCGATAGCCGAGACTATGGTCGAGTTTCCTGCGACATAAGGGATAGAAATTTTCTTCTAGAACCAGTGGATATTACCAGCAGAGGGATTTATAAAATAAAGCTTAGGTTTTCTTTAGACAGAGAGGAATCTCCGACTCGAAATGTAGTTATTTCTTGTGAAGATAGCGACACTCGACCTCTGTCAGCCTCTGCTTCTTTCACTGTCACTGTAGAAGATATAAACGACAACCCTCCACAATTTATAGGCAGTTCACTGATAGGCTCAGTGATGGAAAACGAAAATGTGAACACGTACGTTCTTCAAGTAATGGCAGCAGACCCAGACGAAGGAAGAAATGGGAAAGTCTCTTTTGCGATCACATCAGGAAATGAGAAGTCGCTGTTTGCAATCAGCGAGAATACAGGAGTTATTTCAACAACTGATATCTTAGATCGAGAAGTCAGGAGTCAGTATTTTCTGCAAGTTACAGCTTCTGACCATGGATTCTATTCTCTAGCGTCGTCAGCGACAGTCACCATCAACGTCCTGGATGAGAACGATAACCCGCCAAAATTTAAGAAGCAGGCGTTTTTCAACAACATCATGGAGAACCTCCCTGCTGGTTCTGACGCTGGTAGTATTTCCGCTTACGATTTAGACCATGGCGACAATGCTAAATTTGTCTTCTCGATTATTCACGAGGGAATGGGGTCTCTTGACGGATTATCCTTCAGAGTGGATCGAAATCGGGGATTTCTTACTTCCGTTGTGTCCTTTAACCGCGAGGATAAAAGCGTCTACAAGTTCCGGGTCAAAGTTGCCGACCCTGTAATTGCCAGCTATTACGACATTGCAAATGTAACGGTTTTTATCCAAGACGACAATGATCATTCTCCGGTTGTCGTAAAACCTCTCTCTAGCAACAGGACCTTTCGTTGCCCCTTCAACACAACAGTTGGGGAAGTTATCACAACATTTATTGCCACAGACAACGACGATCCTGAACTCGTACAAATCTCGTATTCTTTACGAAACACGAATTTAAACTCGCCAAAATGGCCGCTGTTTTCTATAGATCCTATTTCCGGTAAATTACGATTGGCTAGACGTATACGACCAGAAGACGTTAGAACACATAATTTGGAAGTTCTTATCAAGGACGGACCAGGAATTACTTCACAAACGACGATTGTGCCAATCTCCGTGATTGTGGAGGAAGGAGACGAGGAATCGATGAGGGCTTTTATCGATGAATCTGGAACCAATATAGTCATCGTTATTATAATCATCGCTGCAACTCTCATCCTCGCCTTCATTATCGTCGCCATTATCTATCTCATCAGACGTGTCGATAAAAAACGGCATCGACAATTGCCTCCAGCGTCCGCGGAAGAAAACAACAAACTGTACCAAGCCGCTAAATGGGTCAGTGCCATGTCTGTCACAAAAGAGATTGGACCTGAAGAAATTAGGTCAATTTTTGAAATCCCCCTGGAGGAGAGAAAGAAAAAGAAGGAGGTTAGTTTCTCTCTAGCGGAGAAGGTGGCAAGTTCACCCGAAGAAGACCAACCCCTTGGGAAGAATTTTGCACTTCAGTTGAACACTTTTCAAGCATCGGATGGATTACCTTTGCATCTGGTAAGTCTGTGCTTATGTCTTCATTATCATCTTTTCGATGTTGAATTTCAAAATCATCATCATCATTATCATCATCATCGTCTTCATGTTGTGCCATATAGGACTCACATTCTAGTCCTTCATCCCGTTCTATCCTGTGCGATACTGTCGATATCATGAAGGGGATCCACTCCAGCCCCTTTGGCCTCTTTCATCAAAATTCATCTGCAGTTGTCTTCGTTTCTTCAGTTAATCATTTTCCGTGCTTGTTTACTTTCCTGTTTCCCTGCCGACTGGTGTGGGCGATCTTGCCTTTTCACGTGTTACGATATCAGTAGCATCGATGTATCAGTTCGGGCGATGACACTCCTTCACGCCATGACAACAAGACTGTCAAGAATCTTCTCTCGTTGTCTTCCTTTATATCTCTGTCCGCAACTCTGCCCACTTGTCACAACTTGTTCCAGTTGTTTCTTCTCATAACATGGCCAAAACATGTCGATATCTTTTTTTTTTAATTCGATATTTGCCATAAGCTGTCTTCGAGCTCTCTACACTTTCAAAGATCTGGATTACTTACGTCTGGCCTTGGCGATCCTTCCTGTTCCCAACTTACGATCTCCAGAATTATATATCAGCTCGTGTTCTGATATCACTAAATGCCATAGCATACGACAGATATATGAACTTTAACATACTGTTTATTCATTGCACCATCTTCTATTCTATGCCACTTCACTGCAATTCTTCCTTCGCTTCAAAAACTCCGCCTTCTAGAAGTTTCGGTTAATTTACCGCCCAGCATCCGTGGCAATAGACATTGTATTCCACTATGTTTGCCTCCACACATCGCGCCCCTCAACTCCTTTAACTACTCAATCAAACCAACCCTACCGTGGGGCGCCCTAATGGCGTTTCTGCCAGTATCTAGTTCCACCGCCCAGGGCGGCTGGTTAGAAATCCCATGTTTGGGAATTTCCATCTAATTTTATCGACATACGTCTTTCCGCTTCCTAGCCGCCGCCATCTTGCGAATCCGAAGTAATACATTTTCAAATTAGAGATGCACTGGCGGTTGCATGTTGCCTAATTACCATTTAGTGCTGTTTGGAATCTGCAACGTGCATTAGTTCTATCCAAGTAATCTCTGGTGATCTGTCCGTCTGTCTATTTATCTATTCACCTGAATGTTTAACTCTTCTTCTTGTCCATTCGTATTTACTTTTAACGTTCTATCTGTCTATCTGTCTTTGTCTGTCTGTCTGTCTATATATCTATCTATATATCTATCTATCTGCTCAAAGGATATGTGCAAGAATAATGTATACGTGGAGTGAGGCCAGAAGGGCAGAATGTAAGACGGGCCTGTGTGCCAATTCCTAACCCTTTAAAAATGAATTTAGCTCATTCTATGTATCTATCGAATCTATCTATCTATCTATCTATCTATCTATCTATCTATCTATCTATCTATCTATCTATCTATCTATCTATCTATCTATCTATCTATCTATCTATCTATCTATCTATCTATCTATCTATCTATCTATCTATCTATCTATCTATCTATCTATCTATCTATCTATCTATCTATCTATCTATCTATCTATCTATCTATCTATCTATCTATCTATCTATCTATCATCTATCTATCTATCTATCTATCTATCTATCTATCTATCTATCTATCTATCTATCTATCTATCTATCTATCTATCTATCTATCTATCTATCTATCTATCTATCTATCTATCTATCTATCTATCTATCTATCTATCTCTCTCTCTCTCTCTCTCTCTCTCTCTCTCTCTCTCTCTATCTATCTATCTATCTATCTATCTGTCTGTCTGTCTGTCTGTCTGTCTGTCTGTCCTGTCTGTCTGTCTGTCTGTCTGTCTGTCTGTCTGTCTGTCTGTCTGTCTGTCTGTCTGTCTGTCGTGTCTGTCTGTCTGTCTGTCTGTCTGTCTGTCTGTCTGTTCTGTCTATCTATCTATCTATCTATCTATCTATCTATCTTATCTATCTATCTATCTATCTATCTATCTATCTATCTATCTATCTATCTATCTATCTATCTATCTATCTATCTATCTATCTATCTATCTATCTATCTATCTATCTATCTATCTATCTATCTCTATCTATCTATCTATCTATCTATCTATCTATCTATCTATCTATCTATCTATCTTATCTGTCTATCTATCTTATCTGTCTATCTATCTTATCTGTCTATCTATCTATCTATCTATCTATCTATCTATCTATCTATCTATCTATCTATCTATCTATCTATCTATCTATCTATCTATCTATCTATCTATCTATCTATCTATCTATCTATCTATCTATCTATCTATCTATCTATCTATCTATCTGTCTGTCTGTCTGTCTGTCTGTCTGTCTGTCTGTCTGTCTGTCTGTCTGTCTGTCTGTCTGTCTGTCTGTCTGTCTGTCTGTCTGTCTGTCTGTCTGTCTGTCTGTCTGTCTGTCTGTCTGTCTGTCTGTCTGTCTGTCTGTCTATCTGTCTATCTATCTATCTATCTATCTATCTATCTGTCTATCTGTCTGTCTGTCTGTCTGTCTGCCGGTCGGTCGGTCGGTCGGTCGGTCGGTCGGTCGGTCGGTCGGTCGTTCGGCCATTCGGTCGGTCGGTCGGTCGGTCGGTCGGTCGGTCGGTCGGTCGGTCGGTCGGTCGGTCGGTCGGTCGGTCGGTCGGTCGGTCGGTCGGTCGGTCTGTCTGTCTGTCTCTCTGTCTCTCTCTCTCTCTCTCTCTACCTACCTACCTACCTCTTTCTCTCTCTCTCTCTCTCCGTCCGTCCGTCCGTCCGTCTGTCTGTCTGTCTGTCTGTCTGTCTGTCTGTCTGTCTGTCTGTCTGTCTGTCTGTCTGTCTGTCTGTCTGTCTGTCTGTCTGTCTGTCTGTCTGTCTGTCTGTCTGTCAACCAGACCCTTATCCCCCTTTCTCATCCGTCCGTCCGTCTGTGTAAATATCTATCTATCTAACTATCTCCTCTCCCAAATGTCCCTGTCTGTATTCTTCTGTTTATCTCATAAACATCCAAGATTTATTCGTTTTATTAGTGTTTCTAATTCACAGTGTCACATTACACTCATCCCTCACCCTAGATAAACAATTGTCTTCTTCGGACAACCCAGTTCCCTCGACAGACTACATTTATTAACTTCATGAATCATTTATCTCCGGTAACAGTGTATCACACATCTTTTGGGGTTGTCTAAGATAAACGTGATACGTGTTCGTGTTCTTGACTATTTTACCGCTGTGTGTGTCGAGTGAGAGAAAAGGTTCTATGGCCATCTCGACCATAGAGACATTGTGTTGTTGTAGAGTTCCTCTGATGTTATCTTTCCAGCTTGTTCTTGTTTTGTTATGTTATTATATCACAATCGATGTCACTGCACATTAGGCATTCATAGGCATGTTCAGTCCTCAAATGCAGCAGCTACTCAAAGATATCTCTGCTGATTGCTCCCAAGAAGAGCTGGTTAAAATGTCTTCTATCTCAGCCTCAGGGGAGAGAAGAGCATGTGGGGTAGACGTGCTTTAACTTTAATCTACTTTAAGGTCACGCAATCCCGTTAGCGTCAGCGATTTGTCTCTATCCTCCAGCCCAGTCCGTACAGTATTGATGATATCTGCTCTGCCCACGCTTTTACCAGCATATTCAATTTTATTTTTGATCTACCCCATGCTCTGTGTCCTTCTCTTTTCTGGTATGCCTTTTATAGTATGGCGTCGCAGGGTATGCTCTCTAAGTGAAGAATCCATTGCATTTCATGTCTTTGAATGATACTAGACAAGATAGGAAATGTTCATCATGTCTTCTCTTGAGGGCTGACCAGTAACACTGGGCTTCTCTAGACCGGTTCGACTGGGGGTTAAAAAAAATGGAAGGGGGGGGGGGGGGAGAGAGAGAGACCCACAGGTGACATTGGAAACAAATTTTAACACATATAAATAAGAGTGCATTGTCCTACTTAAATAACCGGAAGTTTTAACCCGGGCATCAAGTGTTTGCAGAAGTCGGATGTATCAGCCGAAAGGTGCAGATAACACCGCCATGTTGTCAATGGGCGGAACGCATGTACATTTTAGGATGAACGCAGTTGTTGTTGTCTTGTCGAGTTAGCCGATTCAACTTTCTCTCCTGAATAATCAGCTGGTCGTGCCCCCTTGAGAACATCTGCCTGACCCATTGCTGTCCCTGTGCCTACCATGGTCGTGCGAGCAAACCAGTCAGCTATTACATTGCCGCTTACCTGGATGAGTGATGTGAACTCCAGCAGAAACTGTAGGCAGACAGCTAGTTATTGCGGCTTACCTGAATGAGTGATGTGAACTCCAGTAAAAACGGTCGACAGACAGCTAGTTATTGCGGCTTACCTGGATGAGTGATGTGAACTCCAGTAAAAACGGTCGACAGACAGCTAGTTATTGCGGCTTACCTGGTTGAGTGATGTGAACTCCAGTGAAAACGGTCGACAGACAACTAGTTATTGCCGCTTACCTGGATGAGCTATGTGAACTCCAGCAGAAACTGTAGACAGACAGCTAGTTATTGCGGCTTACCTGAATGAGTGATGTGAACTCCAGTAAAAACGGTCGACAGACAGCTAGTTATTGCGGCTTACCTGGTTGAGTGATGTGAACTCCAGTAAAAACGGTTGACAGACAGCTAGTTATTGCGGCTTACCTGGATGAGTGAGGTGAACTCCAGCAGAAACGGTAGACAGACAGCTAGTTATTGCCGCTTACCTGGATGAGTGATGTGAACTCCAGTGAAAACGGTCGACAGACAACTAGTTATTGCCGCTTACCTGGATGAGTGATGTGAACTCCAGTAAAAACGGTCGACAGACAGCTAGTTATTGCGGCTTACCTGGTTGAGTGATGTGAACTCCAGTAAAAACGGTCGACAGACAGCTAGTTATTGCGGCTTACCTGGATGAGTGAGGTGAACTCCAGCAGAAA